TGGAGGTGATGACAGAAGTACACAGTGGAATATGTGGAGCTCATCGAGCAGGTCTGAACATGAGATGGGCCATTCATCGCTTAGGTTTCTTTTGGCCAAAGATTTTTTTAAACTGCATACAATTTGCTAAGGGCTGCCAAGAATGTCAGAGGCATGGACAACTAATTCATTTACCAGTCACAGAATTGCAAGCTATGGTAAAACCATGGCCCTTTAAATCTTGGGCTATTGGACATCATTGGTAAAATCCATCCTCCCTCATCCAAGAATCATTGTTTTATTTTGGTTGCAACAGACTACTTCACCAAATGGGTGGAGGCGGTTGCTTTGAAAATTGTGGATCAAAATGAGGTGATCGATTTTGTGCTAAATCAGATCGTATATAGATATGGTATACCTCATTCAATAACAACCGACCAAGGTCTGGTCTTTACTGGGGAGAAGTTTGTAAGCTTCTTGGTAGAGTTTGGCATTCGTCTGAATCATTCTTCGCCTTATTATTCCCAAGCTAATGGGCAGGCAGAAGCAGCTAACAAGATTATCATTGGGATCATCAAGAAAACGATTGAAGGGAACCCAAGGAAATGGCATTTGTTGTTATCTCGAGCCATATGGGCACATAGAAATAACAGAAGTTCTGCCACAGGGTTTTCACCATATCAACTCACTTTTGGACAAGATGCTGTGTTGCCAGCCGAAGTGCAGGTCTCATATGGACGCACAAGCTTTACCAATGATGAATTTACTGAAGAATATCAACAAATGATACTGCAGCAATTGGAAAGTTTGGATATTAACCGACTTCATGCAATTGATCAGATTGTGAAGCAAAATGAGATCAGGGCCAAGACTTATGGAAAGAAAATCTTTTACAGAACATTCAAAGAAGGAGACTTGGTCTGGAAGACTATTCTTCCAACATATAAAAAGGTTGATCAATTAGGGAAGTGGTCTCTGAATTGGGAGGGACCATTCATAATTCAAAATGAGATTGGAAATGGTGCCTTTATTATCATAAATCAAGAAGGTAAAAGGGTACACGACTGTATTAATGCTAGATATCTGAAGAGGTATTTTCCTGCCTTTTCAGATTACAAGAAAGCATGAAACAGTAAGTTTTCAGAACCCATTTGCCAAGGGTTCGAACCTAACAAGGGTTCATTCATTGTCAGATGTTGAGTCGTGCAGAGGATTATTTTCTTCTGAGTTAGAAGCTTCATTCCAGTGATTAGGGATTACTTCTAGGTCTTCATCAATAAGGTCCTCTAAGCCAGGTCGGTACTTCTCTCACTGATCTTGCATCTTCTCAAGATCATAGTCAATTCGGGCTTTCATGTCTGTTATGGCTTGGCGTTCACGATCAAAAAGAGTGCGAAATCTTGAAAAGACTACACGTTGGTTGGAGAAGGTGTGATCCCAGCCAAGGTCTAGAAGTATGGCTGCCACATGATGTTCAATCAAATCCATGTGATGATCAATGTCGGGGAGGCGACTTTGAATATCCCGAAGGGTCTCATATCCTTCTAGCACGTTTTCCATCAGGCGTATGACACGATGGATGGTCTTTCTGCCTCGTTGGGAAAACCTGAATTTGAAATCCAATTGTTTGAGGATGCATACAGGTCTTCAGCATGACCTCCAACTGGATGATTACCCACGAAAAAGGGTTGAATGACACCTTGCCAATTGTTTACAGGAATATGAGGACGGCGGGGTGGCATTTTAATTTCTGTTGGCAGGTGTGTTCAAGGTTTGATTTGTGAGTAAATATTTATCTGCTGATTTGTAAGGACTGCAAATATTTATAAGGATGTGGAAGTGGATTTGGTTGGGACAAAGGTGATGGAACGGGGAATGGCCAAAACAAGCCGGATGCATAACCAATATACCTTTTGCATGGGTAGAAATGGCTATCATTTCGATTATCAGTAAGGATGGCAGTTATGATCGGATCAGACGCTTGGAGGTTATTACGACCTAAGCAAAGTCGGTTAAGGGCTACTCCTAGAGAGCGTGGGGGCAATGGGGGGATGACCAAGTTGAAAGGCGTCGGGAAAATAGAGACGGAACCATAATTCCAAGAACCAAAAAGGACCCGACGCAGCAGTGTCTAATTTTTTACCATTTTTATCAGTAAGGCGGGCACTGACCCTGGATAGCCCTTCAAAGAGATTGGCAAGGAAAAGGGTGCCTAATGAGAAGAACCGACCCGAGGTTATGTGTATAGCAAGATCAAGATGAGAAGGGAGGACACATTTCGAAGGGGAAACTACTACATACTTATAGAGCCAAAAGAGCAGGAAGGCTGTGTGTTCTCGGTCGGTTACAGGGGTCCTGTCTGCTCCTTGTTGGTCGATTAAAAATTTAGTCCAGCCCCATTCTTTCACATCTGTCATAGACCAGCCCAAGTGGTCTGAGTTGGGCTCTTGCCCATCTAGGGCACCCATTACAGGGTCTTCCCCAACGATTGGCAGATCAGCGATCATGGCCACATCCATGAGGGTGGCGCCGACAGGGGCTGTTGGAAGAAGGAAGGTACAAACCTCAGGGTGCCAGAACGCTGCCATGGCTAGGAGGACTTTCTCATGTAAATGACATGGGAGAGTTGACAGACGTATGGCCTGATCGATTTGTTGAGTTTTCCATTGACCCTGGTAATGTTCTGCTACTCTTTGGTACCAGGTGAGGTATGGATCCTTGGGGTCCGTCAAGTGCGTTTTGATGTTGTCATGGAGGCGGGTTGTGTTGTAGTTAGGGTTGTTGATCTCCAGTAGATTTCTTGCCTCCAAGACTTCTCTCATTCGGTTGGAGTCTTCAGGAGTAGTGCAGTAAAGGCGAACAGTTGGAGTGCGCATTTTCGTCGGTACGAGAGTGGTTTCAGGGATTGATCCGTCGACGGGGAGTGCAGGGATGTATCGATTCGCCATGGTTAGAGTTGTAGAGATTATGATTCAGAAAGGCTCGTATTGAAGAAACGACCGTTTTGTGGAATCAGGAGCGTTGCAGTAACTGATGCAGTTGCCAAGGTGATTTCGCAGTAGGGTTGTGGTTTGTGAACTTCCAAACGACGGTTGAGAGATGGCGTTTGAAAGTCCCTTGGCGGCGGGCAAGTTGTTACGTATGAAATTTAGAATTAAGTTAAAAAGCCCAAGGTAGAAAGAAAAATGGGCCTAGCAATCGAGTTGATCGAACTGGCCGAGGGGCACCGTGGGAAACTCAGGAAAAATAGATATATTTCGAAGGAAATAGCGGATTGGAAGGTCCGCAGGTCGGGAGGTCCGCAGGTCGGAAAGTCCTCATAACAGAAACTCCGCAGGTCGGAAAGTCCGCAGTTCGGAAGGTCCGCAGGTCGAAAGGTCTTCAGGTCGGGAGGTCCGCAGGTCGGAAAGTCGGGAGGTCTGCGGCTACACCAGTAAGTCGGATGGTCTTTAGGTCGGGAAGTCTGTGGCTGGACTAACAAGTCGGATGGTCTTTAGGTCGGGAGGTCTGCGGCTGGACCAAACAAGCCGGGTGGTCTGCAAATCGGGAGGTTGGTGGTCGGACCAATAAGGTGGAAGAGTTGCGTTCGGGCCAAAAGGGTGGAAGGTCTGCGGTCGGTCCAAAGAGGCGGATACTATTGAGAGCAAGTAAGAATGATACTTTGGTCGGTTGAGGGCACGTGTCAACAGGAGAAGGGTTAGCAGATGGTTGAAAAAGAGACGTTGTAACCGTTCGTGCGACGGTTTTCAGTACTGTTTCTCAAGGGATATTTAAGAATTTGGATTTTTCTGGAGAAATTATCTTCAATCAACTTCAACAAAGCAAAGTCAGATTCGAAGATCACCACTTTAAATTTCCAGCATTTTAATTTTCCAGTTAATTTTCTTATGTACCGTACAGTGTTTAGAGATTCCTAATCTCATGCGCTAATTAATAAAATTTAAAGATATTCTCCATATCTTTAAATTTTATTTTTTGTTTGTTGAAAAAATACATCAACAATTATATTTTTCATCTATCGAATTAATATATATAAAAACATCAAATCCAAACCAAACGAATAAAGTTAAAAAAACACAAAATTTCAAACTCATTTTAAAATTCACGCAATTACTGCAAACCCCTTCAAAAGAAATAAAAATATATATTTTTCAATAGTACAAATAAAAACAATACTTTCAATTGAAACTAATTGAACAATAATTAATCATTCTGTAAATGATAATATGCATGTATTATTGGAGATACAAAAGTCGAAGTAAAATATAAACGGTAAATAACTAAAAATTATATCAATAAAAATAATTTTTTTATAATACAAAAAAATTATAAATATTAAAATTTAAAATATATAATTATATACTCTCTCCCTTCGTATTTACTTATATGGATATTTAATATTAAAAATATTTTTATATTTATATAAATTTTTATATAAAATATATTTTTATTAATATTATAAAATATTAATTGAAATATTTTTATATTTTTTTTAATTTATATTTTTTTAAATATAATATTTAATATTCAAATATTAATATTAAAAAATAAATAAAACTTTCGAATAGGATGAAAATAGTATATTTAAAAAAAAAAAAAAAAAAAAAACATCTTATAAACCGATTAAAATAAAAAAAATATAAATATTTTATGTAGGACGAGAATGTATTATACATTGAAGCAACAAAACTGGAATTTAAATTAGAGTTGATATGATTCCAACAGTCACCTAACACTTGCTGACATCATCATTTATAATTATTAACACTAACAGACTGGCAATCTTATCTACACTCTCCTCATCTTCCAATTGTCATACGGCGGCGCTGGCGGCGGAGGCGCATGTCATCCATCCATCCATCCATCCATCATTGGATTGCCCTCGCTGTCTCCTTCCTTCCTTCCTGTTCTCCCTCTGCCTTAATTAGATCCAGGAAAATGCTGAGAGATATCTATCATTGAGGCAATATGGATAAGATAATACTCCATTAAAAGAAATTATCAGATTCCCAACAAAAACATTCACAACAACATTCTCCTCTAATTCATTTAACGCAGTTCAATCGTCAACAAATACATCAATTAATTAATAATAATAAATAAAATTCACACACACACACACACACACACACGAAACAGACGAAGAAAACAAAGCGAGAGAGAGACCCATGTAAAAGATAAAAATCAATCAACAATTCAATTCAATTGGCAGCGTTGCTTCTGAAGGAGCCCAAAGCCTTAATGGCGCCTGCTCTGAGTACGAACTGGTGGTATATCGCTGCCCCCAGTGCTCCCAACGCAGGCCCTACCCAGAATATCCACTGCACATCCATTCATACAATTACAATTACAATTACAATTTACAGTTACTTCCCCAAATTAATGATATAGATGGAGTCGATTCAATCAAACAAATCAATTCAATTGCTGCTTACGTGGTCATCCCAAGCTTTGTGGTTGTTGTAGATGACAGCGGCCCCGAAGCTCCTGGCCGGGTTGATGCCGGTGCCAGTGATGGGGATGGTGGCCAAGTGAACCATAAACACCGCAAATCCGATGGGGAGTGGAGCCAGAACCTGTACGCCAAAACCAAACCAACACTTTAATAACGACTAGGAGCTGAGGTGAGGTTAGAATGATGGCAGCTTAGATATATATATATATATATATAATGAAATCTCAATAATATTTCACCGGAACGTGAGAGTCACGCGCGCTGCGCTTGGGGTCAGTGGCGGAGAAGACGGTGTAGACAAGCACAAAGGTGCCGATGATCTCGGCGGCGAGCGCAGTTCCGTTGTTGTAGCCCGGGGCCACCACGTTTACGCCGCCGCCGTACCTGTTGTAGTAGGTCTTCATGAAAGCTTTCACCAGCCCCACGCCGCAGATGCCTCCCAAACTCTGGAATATTATGTACGCCACAGCCCTAATCAGCGACACCTTCCGCCCCAGGAACAGCCCCAGCGTCACGGCCGGGTTAATGTGTCCGCCTGCAGATATCATCATCATCATCATCATCCAATTACTCCCCAATCATCTAAACTAATACTACTACTACTGTATCAATCAATCGAAAGAAACTACGACTATTGGAAATTGTGATTTTTGGTAGTAGCAACCAGAAATGCCGGCGGTGCAGTAGACGAGGATGAAGATCATTCCGCCGAATGTCCAGGCGATGCCGAGGATGCCGATGCCGTCGCATAGATCGGCGGCGTTGAGCTTCTTGTGGCCGATGACGGCCGCAACGGAGACGTAGAGGAAGAGGAGGGTGGCGATGAACTCGGCGATGAGGGCACGGTAGAAGGACCATTGCTTGATCTCATCTAGGTCGAAGAGCGGGGCAGGTGGAGGGTCCTCGTAGTCCTTGTGGGGAGCGGCGGCGGCGGCGCCCGGCTCTTCGCTCAGCTCCTTGGTCATGGCTGCTGCTGCTTCTTCTTCTTCAACTTTGAAGATAAGCTAAGCTAAGCTAAGCTAAGGTGGTGGGCGCAGTGAGAGAGAATTGTGTAGATGGAATTGTTAATCCACTGTAGAGTAGAGTAGAGTAGCAGAGAGAGACAGAGATATAGCAGCATCAGCATCAGCATCAGCATCAGCACGTAGAGGGTGTGGACGGACTTTTGGATAAGGTCGGGGCTATTTCCGGGAATAAGAAAAATATATCAATACAGTACTCCCTCTTTTCTAAACACCATGCAATATCTTTTTTTGTTACGTTTCAAATATTTTGCAATAAATAATTAATTATATTTAATATCTCTCCATATTTTATCCCATCATAAAATTCAAATAAAAAAATAAAATATATATTTTTCTCTCCATTACATTACTTAATTTTTAAATTATCCTATTTAATACTATCCACCTAAAACCTTACGTGTCAAAAATAAATGTTGCATCTTATTTGGATGGAGAGAGTACTAATACTGTTATTATTATTATTAATTTGTAAATATATACTATTCTCCTATGCCAATTTTTTTTTCCTATCAATTCTACCATTTAAAAAAAATAAAAATTAACGAATCTAATAATAATTAAATATCAATTAATTAAACGGACAATTTGGCAAAAATCTCTCTGTCCATTTATCATTTGGGATTCAGTCCCTAATGATAAAAAATTGTTCTGCACTCCCCCCTTTTTCCTTCTTCCTTCTTCTTCCTCCCTAATCGTATTTCTCTTCATTCTATTTCTCTTCGCGCAAAAAATTCTTGTCAAGCCGTTGTCCTCTTCCGTGAGCTCGAAAGCCACATCCCGCACAGGTAAGGTTCTTAATTGTTCGCCCGATTTTACATCGCCGCTTCTTGTCTGGTTCGATTGAAAAATTTCCTAGGGCACTCTCCGAATTCTGTTCCGGTTCCCTGTCGCCGGCGGTCGGTTGATTCGGTCGAAGAACTACCGAAGGCTGTCACCGGTTCCGTGGCCCGTATTTCTTGGTCTCCGGTGAAATTAGATGTACCAAGTGTGTTTTTGTGTCGGTTGATTCGGTCGAAGAACTACCGAAGGCTGTCACCGGTTCCCTGGCCCGTCTTTCTTGTTCTCCGGCGAAATTAGATGTACCAGGTGTGTTTTTGTATCGATATCTTAGTTGGAAAATTATTATCTGGAAGAAAATGTTTGGGTATTATTTTGGGTGATTTTGATAATAAATTTTGTTGTGAAATGGGTAATGTGTTGCTATTGAGGATCAAGACATTACTAGAATTCCGTAAGAACATATGATTTTAGTGTATTTTGGGTAAGATTATCTAATCGCCCATACGACCTAATATAGTTCATACATTCATCGGTTGGATCGCTAGGTTCCGATGGACATGGAGCAAAGTAGTCTGAAATTATTAATTATATGTTCCTACGAAGGTGAGCATCATGTAATTCGTTTAGAAGAGGGCACCACGCTGGAGGATCTTTACCGGAATATATCGAAAAGATGGAATAAAGTGAGTATTGAGGCGGTAAAACTCCAATATATTGCACCTATTCAGAAAAGCTACGTGACGTTATTGTGTGACGATGATGTCGCCAATATGTGGAGAATGCATATCTTGTTAAAGGTAATGTTTGTGGATATGATTGCACGGTGCAGAAGCGAGCACCAGAGCGTGCCTCTCCGAAGCACGGTTGGACGCAGGTACGTTACTCATCATTTGTAATTAAGTAGTCTTTATTAAACTTTGTTATAGAATGCAGTCACAATTGTTCCTTATGAAAGAATGCAGTCTGTAAGCACTTATAATGCAGTATGTAAGAATGCAGTCTGTAAGCGCTTATAATGTCATGTTCAACACATCTAAAAACATATTGTTTATAGGTTACGTTAGTAATAATTCTTTCATGATATTGGCATACAACAATACCGTGGTATATTGTTGCGATGTTGTTTGTAGGTAGTAAGTATCCACCTCCGCGATTTTGTAGTAGCGCGGTGCAGAACGAACCACTGAAGAGATTGTAAAGATATGTAGTGGGGATATAACGTCTTGAAGGTATTTAACGATTTTCACTCCTTCTTCACACGCCACTGTCAATATCCTCTAGCAATCCGGTTTAGGTAGGTGTACCATGATCGATGCGTTGAAATTTCTGTAGCCCATGGCATTTACTGCATCACGTAGCCTGCTACGGTGAATAGATGCAGTTGTTCTTTTAAATACCCTGGATGACACGGTAGGTAACCATAGACACCGTGGACATACTCGGTTGAGTAAGATGGGTACCCATGTTTTTCCATTTACTCTGAAAATATCTATTACCATATAAAATTAGAACTACTTACATCTGATATAATTTTCATTCTTATTATTGTATTTGTAATGTAGGGGTGAGGCCGAATGTTCTGGATTGAACGAAGATTGCGCCGATGGTATCTTTATTCCCGACGAAAGTACTAGTCTAATTGCAATGCAGAGATGCATTGTCGGGGAAGGGCAGACATTCAAGGGACCGCAGGAGTTTAGAAAGTTACTGAAGAATTATTCTATTGCCACTCAGAAACACTTCAGGTACCAAAAGAATGATTCGAGCAAAATTATTGCGGTGTGCATCGACAAAGGCTGTGGTTGGCGTATTTATGCATCCTTCCATGCTCGTGATGCATCATTCAGCATTCGTAAGTGCAATTTACATCACACATGTACTATGAGTCTATTGCAATCAAGAGATCATCCAGCAGCCGATGCGAACTGGATTTCTGAGGTCTACAAAGATAAGATACGTTCTATGCCAGCGTATAAGGCATCCGACATCCGGGAGCATATCCAAACAGATTATGGGATTGACGTGAAATATCATAAAGCATGGCGTGGCAAAGAGAATGCGATAAGGGCAATTAATGGTGGAGGTAGAGACAGTTTCTCACAACTTCCGTGGTACTGTCATGCACTTCGGGAGTCAAATCCGGGAAGTATTATAGACTGCGAAGTTGAGCAGGCAACCAAACGTTTCCAACGCCTTTTTGTTTGTTTAGGTGCATGCCGGCTGGGTTTTTTTAGGGGTTGCAGGCCCCTACTCTTTCTTGATGGGACACATATAAAAAACAAACACAAAGGGTGTCTGCTAAGTGCAATTGCAGTGGATGGGGATGATGGGATGTTTACTTTAGCATTTTCTGGTACGTAATTTGATATTAGCTACAGTTGTCATTTTGTTAGAATGCTGGGTATAGCTGTTCGTGTATGCTGTTTTCCATGCTCTCTTTAGGCACGTATGTACCCTTATACGTTGGAAACCTTTGTATTTATTTGTGTTCTTATTTGTTGACTTGCAGCTGTGTCTACGGAAAATGATGAAAATTGGGAGTGGTTTTGCTGGAAGCTGCGATCTGTTTTAGAATGTGAGGGACGTACGGATTGGAAACAGTACACATTCTTCTCGGATCGGCACTCGGGTTTACTAAAGTCAATCTCGTGCGTCTTTCCCGGAGCACATCATGCGTACTGTCTCCGACACTTAGTGGACAACTTCCGTACCCAGGTATATGTACGTCAATATTAATCTGTAATGAACATCACTGGTTATGATCAGCCATAAAATGTCTTTTTTTTAGGTTATGCGGAGATACCCAATGCATAATAAGAAACGATGGACCGCTGTCTTCAATAAGGCCGCCTATGCTCCGTTGAGGAGAGATTTCGAAAACCACATTAGTTCTGTGGTCGAATCAATGCCATTGGCCAGGGACTTCATTACCCAATCACACCCAGAATGTTGGGCAAATTCACTATTCAGAGGCACTCGTTGGGGAATAATAAATAATAACATTGCTGAGTCATGGAATAGTTGGGTGAGATCCGCGAGGTCAATGCCATTCGTTGGGATGTTGGATACCATTAGAAGGCAAGTGATGGTAATGATGAATGAACGCCGCGAAAAGTCGGAGATAATGCACGGAAGGCTCTGTCCAAAACAGGAGAGCAAGTTGGCACTATCGTACATGGCGTCTCGACGGCTACAGTGCAGTTCATCCTCTAGAACTGTATTCGAGGTAACAGATTGTAATGAAAGATACGCAGTCGATTTGGAGGCGCGCAAATGCTCTTGTCGAGAATGGCAAATGTTCCGATTGCCCTGCAAGCATGTCTGCGCTTGCATTGAAAAATGCAGTATGTCAATTTATGATTTTTGCGATCTTTACTATAGCATTGAATCTTACAGAAAAACGTACCAGGAGCCAATAAATCCCGTACCGACGCATGATATGGACGTGATTGTTGAAATTCAGGCGGACCAAATTCACCCTCCTCCGTCGTCTGTCCAACCAGGCCGGCCAAAGAAGCGAAGGTTCGAGTCCCAGCAGGTAAAGAATGCACGGAAATGTGGTCGTTGTGGGCGTCTTGGACATAATAGAAGAAGTTGCAAGCAACAAATAGCTTAGCGAACCTTTTTTTCATTGTACATCTTTTTGGCTTCCAGGAGTATATATTAAGACAGTAGGTACATATTCAATAGCTATATTGTAATTGTTTTTTGTGTCTCTAGGATGTAACCGGTTGGATCCATCGACTTATTTGCAGTAGTAAGTGGTATGTAGCCCTCTCACGCAGGTATATGATGAAGTTGTGAAGGTTCATAGTTATATTCTGCAGGTATATTTTTCATGTACTGAGGCATTTGATGATGTAGCTCTGTAGGGACGGATGGTTAATGTAATCTCTAATTGTTTTGAAAGTACATGCTATCCTATTTTTGGGTTATTACTAGGAGGTATAGTTGTTGTATTAAACTCGTCATACTAACCAAGTGCATGTGTCATACAACTTAAGTATTTGTTGATGCCTTCTTTAACCATCAGCAGTAAATACATGCTATTTGAAGAAAAAAAAAAAAAGGACCGTTTCCCCAGCCACAGGTAACCAGGGCATACATAATTGCAACTGAAGTATAATGTCACGGTTGTTGTAAGTACGCAATAGCTTACAGAGGGTATATGAATAATGATTCCAACATATAGGGTTGCGGTCCGAGTACAAACCATATTTTATTTTGTTTATACATTATTCTAATTGTATTACCGTGTAATAACTTGGAGGCGTAGCATTGATTAAAATTCAGCA